CCCCCAAGTGACTGTGTGTTCACACACTTTTTTTTTACCGTACCATTTTTACCATTTAAAACTTAATTTTTTATAAGTCATGCAGTGAACATCGACCATTGGGATTCGCGCTGTTCGACCCACCCACCAACCAATAGGAATCGTGCTCTTCGCAGAGTGACACTGCGATCCTGTCGAAGAGTACAATAATCGACATTCGGCGAGTCGCACAATCGCGTCGCAGAGTTAGTTTTTAGACCCCCATACATACATGCAATCCAATCAGAGCTCAACCCCGAGGGTTTATAGGAGCCAAATTCAAGCCGGCTCAAGTCGCAGGGTTTCGATAAAATGCTGTTGTGTAAACGGAGCAAATGGATACTGACTGCATAACTTCTCTATCAGTCACCAGTGCATGTATTTCATAATTATTCCATGAAAACATTTTTACAAATGTAAAATTTCCAATTTCCAAAGCATATCCACTATATGTTTCACTTGCGAGGTCTGAAATGATACAAATTTGCCTATGAAAAGTACATTTATTAATGAATTAATAAATGAATGAATACACAATTTGAACTTGCTGAACTGAGAATGTTCGATGATATTTAACATGTACTTTGGTGGTGGTGCAGAATTTGATAAAAAGTTAAAATAAATAGTCAGAGCAGCAGCAATGTATGAAAATGACAAGTGGGCTGCAGGACAATTGCCTTTTTTAAGTACAGTGCTTCACATCTTCTCCTACAGGCAGTGTCGTCCCATATTGTTACTAACACCACTCTCTCGACTGAAGATAAGTGTAATCCTTAATTAACCTTTTTTTGAGGTGCACACAAGACGAAGAACAAGTGTTATATTTATAACAAGTCATTGAAAATGACACAGTTCCCGTTAAGTTCTCTTTGTGCTCGTCATATTAAAGCGGAGGGGTTGTCGCGAGCGTGTCCTTGAAACTTGAGTTCCAAGTGGTGTATACAACAGATTGTTTATTTACATCAAAACACGTGTTTCATGTCATAGTAATATGGCAAAAATAAAAACAGCTGTTATTCAGCCATCTTTGATCTGATTATGAAACACACTGATATGTATGATGTATGTGCCAAATTGTGAAAATATAGTAGTAAGGCCAAAAAGTCAGATGGCTGTCAATCGGCCATCCTTGACCAGATTTTGAAACATATTGTCATGGACATGCATCCTAACATGTATAAAGTACATGTATGTGCCAAATTTGAATGAAAACTGACAGAGCACGTCCAAGATACCACATAAAAAAACAAAAACAAGATGCCTGCCAGTCGACCATCTTTGATCTAATTGCGAAATAAATCGTCATGGACATGTATCCTAACATGTATAATCTATGTACCAAGTTTGAATGACAACTGACAAAGCATGTCCAAAATACAACATTTTCAAAAAACAAGATGGCTGCCAGTCGGCCATTTTGAATCGAATCGCTAAACCACTGCATGTGCATATGTCCCACATAAAGTACTAGGCACATGCAAAGAATGAACGGAATCGGTCCAAGAGATTCTGAGATATGACTCCGAACGAACGCACGGACGGATGGAGACCAAATTACAAGTCCCCGTTTTCAGACTTTGTCCGAACGGGGACTAAAAAACAACACATATTAATGGTTCAGCTCCTAGATGTGATATTTTATTTCAATAAATAGTAATTTCCGTCGTACACACAAAACGAGAAATGATCAATGCAAAATGATCACATCCTCCTGTTATAGTGCTTCTTTTTTACCCACAATCCATGCTGTGGACTTCCTGTTATAGTGCTTCTTTCTTACCCACAATCCATGTCGTGGACTTCCTGTTATAGTGCTTCTTTCTTACCCACAATCCATGCTGTGGATTTCCTGTTATAGTGATTCTTTCTTACCCACAATCCATGTCGTGGACTTCCTGTTATAGTGATTCTTTCTTACCCACAATCCATGCTGTGGATTTCCTGTTATAGTGATTTTTTTCTTACCCACAATCCATGTCGTGGACTTCCTGTTATAGTGCTTCTTTCTTACCCACAATCCATGCTGTGGATTTCCTGTTATACTAGTAATCGTTGTGTCATCACCGGAAGCGCTGTCCCAGCACAAACCTGTGTCATATGACGCCTTACTAGCCGATTTTGGCTAAAATAGCGCTCCGCCGCCTCTTTACACTTGTGTTTATACACGGAACTTGATAATTTTTTTTCCAATTTAAGTTGCTTTTCAATCACATATTTTTGTGAAATATTGTTTAGTGAGTGAAATATTAATGTCATAAATAATTCAATATTCGAAACAACAGAAACTAACACATAATAACGATAATCAAATTTGTGTTTGAAGTTTGAAAAGTACCTGCGTAATTTCCGGTTTCAACTAGTTCAACGCGATAAAATCACGCATAGAACGCCTTCCGAAACAGACACTAGCAGCGTAAACTTATTGCTAATTTGGGCTCAGTTTGTTCTTACATGTTTTTTCTAAGTTTTATTTATCATTATTTAGTAAAAATGCCTCTTAAACGATACATTCGTAAAATACGTGCCAATCGACGATTGACTTTGAAATGTTCGAAGTTTGGAACAAACTCCGGCACACCTTGCGCGATATGCGTCAGATCGGTGGAGAAGACGCCGCCTGCAGCGCCAATGACCGGTAGTGCTTCTTTCTTACCCACAATCCATGTCATGGACTTCCTGTTATAGTGCTTCTTTCTTACCCACAATCCCATGTTGAGGACTTCCTGTTAAAGTGCTTTTATCATATATATAATGCTAAATCTACATTTTTAAAAAAGTTTTTTTTTGTGTGTGTTTTCAGGAAGTGTACAACACTATAAAATATTCATAATATGCATAGTGTTTGACTGTAGCCTCATCAGGTCTGTACATTATCACAAAGCATCACTGATATCTAAAAATAATAATTATTATACATCTGTCACTGTAACGCCATTAGTTACAGTGTGCCATAATTTTGCACACTCAGACAGTACGCAGCGCATCGACCTTCGCTGCGCGTTGGTAGATAGTCTGCTGGACTGTCTGTGCATACCGGTACTTTGAGGTTTTCTCGTAATAACCACATATTATAATATAGTTTATTGCATCTTTATGAATAGTTTTTATTACTGGTAGTGTGTATCAAAAACATTTTATGAGAAAAACAAGTACTTGAATACGTAATGACAAATAAAAGTAGATAACATATATTATTTGTATGCAGTATGAATATAGTGTAGACTTGACTTCACCTGAGTGTCCTCAGAACGTTCAACAAGCATACATCAGTGTTGTGGCTTCTGTGTGCCCACACAAGTCATCCTTTGAGGTACTACATGTAGTAAATAAATGTTATCCGTCCAGGATAATGTCCCTACCTCAGTTTATTTCTCACTGATTCCCATGGCCACTGAGGAGGCTGGAATGGTGTCAATTCTTCATCCTTTTCTTTCTCACCACTAACCTCGTCTTCGTCAGATTTACCAAAGTCTATCTTATGTGCAAGTTTCGTAAGGTTTTCTGACATAGACAGAGGCCTGAAGAGGAATATTAAGACATGAATAAATAGTTTTAAATTTTACAAGTAACAAAAGAGGGCGCTGCTTAATGAGATTAGACCAACTAAAGAGGTTTTGGATTGGAACTCTGAATAAATACTTAAATCCAGTATGGTGTTGGTTTATACAGTGTAGTTCTATATTCCATGGTTATGGCTACAATATTCCTAAATTGGTGACTCTGAGAACATTGTTTTAGACTGGGGGGAGAGGATTTGAAACCATTGGGAAACAAGTTCGGACAATAATATTCTTTTATTATTATGCGTATATACACACTATATACTGCATCTCTGATCTACGTTATCTGCTAAGCGTGGGTTGGTGGTGTCTGGGCTTCTATGAGGTTCACAGCAAAGGATGTAGAGGCTTGAGCCATAGCCGTACAAGAAGAGAATCGAGATCATAGTCGCCTATATTTTGATATAAATCGACCGAACCAGAATAAAAAAAACAATAAACCAAATATTATAGTTAAACTGATGAACCATGTTTCACCCGTACTCACGTTACATAGGTTTCTTGGCCATCCAGTGCCACCTCTTGTATTTGATGTTCGAGGACGGGCTCAACACTCACTTTGACACCGGAGGCCGCCATCTTTGTTATGTTATGAATCTTACAAGTTCCCGTAGAGGGCGCACTGAGCAAAGCCGTGCAGGAACACATATTTCTCTCAGTAAGCGTAATTTAAGGCCGTGACAGTTGTCACGAAGGGTTTTCTTTTCTATTCAGTGATACCAAAATGAAGAAATAACGGCTATTGACGGATTTAGTATTACATAACAGCAGCTATAATAGTAAAAGCAGTATATTATACTAGAGTATTCTAAACAGATTTTGTTGTGGTGTGAAAATATACAAAATTACCAATCACAACGCGTTTACGGGTGCATGTGCAGTGGGCGTTAGCAGTAGTTTCTATAGTAAATGAAAGGAATTCTTTTGATTTGAATGACAATTATTTGTTTTACGAATATTTCATATATTTCCATAAAAACATTCATGCATTTATGAGGTTCACTGTAGTACATACTAAATGTGTGTGTCTTTATAAGATTACTCATTCAGAATCTTAAGGGTCGGACTGGTGGAAATTGGTTTTATTCAAATATCGATATTTTTTTCTTGACATTCACAGTATTTGTACAATTTGTTTGCTCACATGGCAGAATTGACACGATGTTTATAAGAACAAATACGAGACAACAAAACAACAACAAAAATACAAATAATGATAATATCACTACATCTACAAATGCATCTTTCGTTGTATTTTACCAACACGAAAGTAGAACGAAATATTAATGCTTTACCAGATATTCAGTCTTGATTTTAAAATAGTGATATAGCGAAATCTTGCATTTCATTTCATTTTTTATGTCAAAAAAATATAAAACGTTGCGTTTTTCATGTTAGATTTCCAAATACATAAATCGCCAATCGTAGTGCAAAAATATACTATTTATATATTAATTCTAAATCTCTTAATCAACTGAAAGTTATAAATGTTTTCACTTTTAGTCCAAACTTTAAAAAATTGTTGTTATGTAACTAATAATTATTTGGGAAATTCTATATTTGTTATGAGTGTCATATTTTTCTAAATTGACAAGTTAACATTAAATATGACACTGATGTATCACTCACAGCAATGTGTTTTTCTTTTATTTCTCGTTTAATGAAAATGTGATAATTCGCATCACTCGGTTGAACTGGCCACGCGACGATTTCGTGATTGGGTCAAAGATTGGTGGCCATTTTATTAATTTTATTTATTTTATGATTTTATTTATTTCATAATGACCGACCAGCAGCCATTTTATGTTTGACAATTTTTTTTCCAGACATATATTTCAGACATACTTCGGGCAATTCACTTCAAAGTTTATACGCAGGCAACATCAAATGAAAGATAGCCAACTACTGACCGTTTTAGTTGTTGAAAAAAAACACTAAAATCGGATATGTTGACATGTTGAACCAAATCTTGGCCATGTGTTGTTTGACTTTATTCTTACTTATTTTTTTAAATGCACTATAATTGATTATTTTGAAATGTTTGGAACCCAATCTCGCACTTTTGTAATTTCATTTTCAAACTCACTCATCGCTAGTATTATTCACATTCAATCTCATTAATAATACTAGTTTACATAAATTTGATGAAAATGGCAATCATGTGAATTTAAGATTTGTATTGTAAAGTAAAAGAAAATATCACCGTTATAAATATGTATATATACATACCGCTCCTATGGAAGACATCTAAATGCAAATGCATTCTATAATAACTGACTCTGATCACTTCCAGAATACAAGTGTGTCTATTTACAACTACTATACAAATGAAACGTAAGAAGTAATATAAATAAATACGCATTCTTAAATAATGTGTTACGTGATAAAAAGATTTATACTAAAAATTCATGCTATGTGATGAGTTCCCTTGGTAATTGCTCGCCAAATGACCTGAAACCACCAACGTCCTGAAAAATAGGGTTCATGTAGTGTTTTATTTTTATGATTAGGGCGGAGATACCGTTATCTACTCAATTTATGCCAATATGACCAACGGATTGCAAATTAATGATTCTGTTTGGTCGGGGTTTAAGTCATGTCTGTTATTTTCTACCGATGGTGTCCCATGGCAATGCTCAATAAGTTTCTTCTTTCTGAATGTTACTTGTAAGTTGGTCTCAGGTTGTGTTTACATCATTACAATATGTGTGTTGATACCTATGGCATTGCTGTTGGCTGATTCTCACGTCTTGTGGGATCTCATTAAGTGTATGGTGTTCATAACAACAAAGTCCCACTTCAGACTTTGTATAGTACGTTTATTTATATGTCTCATTCAAGATTTTTTTCTTGGTATGCATGAACGCTAATTGTACCAGGTCACCTGGCGAGTGACCCCCTCCCCTGGAATGTGGTATATGAAAGAGACAGTCAAATTAATGTGATGGTAGGATGTTTTGATTTGTGGGAGCTAGTTATTGTAAAATTCTTACAGCAAATGTCAGAAGTATTGGATCAGCAAGTTAGCAAATTTACTAATTAATTCACTAGAACTTTCGTTTTTATAAAGAAGATTTGACTATCAATTCAATCAGTCCTGTAAAACCCCATAAACTTTTTTAAAATACTGTTTTTTGGAGATGACTAGCATTTGATTGTGACAGAATAAAGGGTAGTATTTGAATCGTAAGTCATTTGCTCCCGCCAAAACCAAAGTATTTGTCAAATTAGTGAGTGATTTTGCTTTCTTGCTGTCCCAATTCTTCAGAGACTTGCTGTAATGACAGTAGAAGATGATACGTGAGAATCATATGCGATGTCCTGAGTAAAGACAGATTGACAAGAAAACAATTACAGGATGTAATCTGATGATATGGATCTTGTGGTCAATGTGGAGTAGGCATGTGACGTTGGCGTCGTTGTAGTATCGGAAATAGGCAACAGCAGTAGTTGTACTGATAATGACATTGATATGAACGATAATGATCAAGTGAACACATGCGTACATTAGACTATAGATTGGAGATGCCATACTATTGTATTTCTTGTATATACAAAGAAGTATCGAACTCTAAATTACATAGAGATAAACATATAAATCTGAATGAATGTTGTATGTTGTAAATTTGTCAATGCTGTCATACTAAAATAGGCCAAGTTCAAATAGGTCGTGACCTGTGCAGTGACAAGCCATGTATGTATGTGTCAGATAGTGAGTTGTTTATCTGTACAGTAAAGCCATTTCAAAATTGTTTCGAGTCCCCAGTGTAAGCAGCAAGTAGAGCATATGGAAATTCTGTGACTTCCTAATTACTTTGAAGATTACATTGCGACGTTTCGGGTCAAGTATCTGGCAACAAGGGACGTTTAATACAGTATTTCAATAAATAAGCAACACACAGACTCGCCATACCAAAAGACATTAGGTGTCAAGTGTTCTTATATGTCGAGACCGGTGATTACGATGTCATGACTTGCCCACAACGCATTCATTGAATGCAATCACGTGATCTACCAGCATGGTTAGTTATGTGACGCGCCGAAAGGCCAGGATAGATTGTTTGAAAATAAAACGTGAAATAACGCAAAGCTTCGAATTGGAAAATCACGTTTCTATATGGAGCTGTAATTCTAGTAATATACTAGTATTTTCAAGTTTCATAAACATCAATTATTAAGATCTAACTAATATTTTTTTCATAAAACACATTAGAATTTCACAAATAATTATTAGTTTCATAAAATTTGTTTTTTAAAGTTTGGACTAAAAGTGACATTTACAACTTTCAGTTGATTAAGAGATTTAGAATTAAAGTAAATAGTATTCCTGAGACTTACCACGTGACGTAGGGTTACTACCTGAACTGTTGGACTACTTCCTGTGATTATAAATAGAACTGTCACATCCGGTCACACCCGAGAGTGAATAACGTTATTTGAATCCAGCTTGATAATCGCAACACAAACTGAAAGTATGCCCGGGCTTAAATGATTACAATCAGTTACTAGTCGTAAAGATTGAACCCCGTCGGTGACTGGGAATTCGCACTTGTAAGACATTCGCACACCTTACTGAAATAATAGTATAGTATATTTTATTTGACACTAAATAATATATTTTGTTACATTATCTGTGGTCAAAAGACATTAAATATAATAAAACACAAGTACACACACGAGACAAAAGAAAATACATAAATAACTAAAGTCTAAGTAAAATTACTTATAGTAAAATAAAATGCTGTCAATAAATTTGCTAGCACTATTGGCAATGAACCCATCTCTCGAACTTAAAATTTCTGTAAACATTTGTTGTTTTGATAGTTTAAGGATACTTTCATTATAAATGCTAACTACATTCAGAAATTCAGTACGAGCATTTGTTATTCCAGTATGGTTACAGTATAAGAGTGCATGCATTTCATTGCAAATAGCCTCATTGTTACAATGTTGGCACTTTCTTTCCTCTGGAGGTATCCCTTGATATCTAAGTTTTTCAATTGGTAGGGTATGTGCAGATATCCTAAATTTGGTGAAGCTGGTTCTATGTTGTGCATTTTTTACTTGATTCAAATATGGTTCAAATTTATATGTAGGTTTGAACTGAGTGTATGTACGTAATTTATTGTTTTGGGTTGTCTGGACTGTTGGTAGCCAAACTTTTTCAACATAGATTTCTTTTAATTTTGACTTAAGCAGAGTATTGTCATCAGCAT